TCTAAACAACCGGTGATATTGATGATCACATACATGCTATTATGCTGCATGGCAAGCTGAATGGTGTGTGATGGAGAGCTGGCCAATGCTGTGCTCCTTTGTTGCTGATAGTGGTATTGGGGGTTGACAGGTGATGTTGAGAAGCACTATAGGTGGGGGGAGTGTTGTTGGTGCACTTGTTTGTTGTTGATGGTGGGGGAGAGTTGGTGTAGATGGTTAGTGACAGGGAGAATGTTATTGGTGGTGGGGCATAACATTGTTGTACATGTTTTATGGTGGGGGTGTAGTGTGTTTGATCTATTCTCTTTAATTCTCTGTCTATCTACCCTTTACAAACACACACTACAGTTTAGCTATACAGTACTGTACTCTACTACAGTACAGTACTAGGAGATGGGAAAAGAAAACTATTGGACAAAAATAAAGTACATGTACTGCATACTCTATAGCAGGGGTTTTCAAACTATGGGTCCCGACCCTTCAGTGGGTCGCGAAATAAATAAATTGGGTCGCAAAATAAAAATGGGTCGCGAAAATAAATAAGAAAAAATAAATAAAATGGGTCGCGAAAATAAATACTGTAAGAAAATAAAAATAAATGCACCATAATTTAGGCTTGGAAGCGACTGCAAGGAGAGCATTTCCTGATTCTTTCTTTACCTCTCATGTCAGTGTTTGTCTTTGATTTACTCATTTCATATCATTACACTTAGGTTTAATGGGTTGCAATTCAAATTGTTGTTCTGGCTGTGGGTCGCAGTAAAAAAAGTTTGAAAAACACTGCTCTATAGTATGATCAGCGGAGTGAGCTGAAGGCTTTAGGCGAGTCTCGAGTTGCTTGGAGGAGTGTGGAGAGCTGCGACTGGTGCTTGGTGAGATGCTCTGTCGCACCCTTTTTATCCCTGTGAGGAACGGTGTGAGAAATCAGTGGTGGTATGTGATTGGTCCAGTGGGAGTCTGTCCTTTGCTAGTCTGATAGCCAATCAGCACACTGGGATCAAGAACAGCTGCTTGTAGTTGGCTAACCGTGGATACACCTACCTCTTCACCTGCATCAACCGCTTCACGAGATGGGCAGAAGCCATCCCTATGCTCGATATCACTGCTGAAACCACCACCCTGGCATTCATTTCAGGTTGGGTCTCATGTTTTGGAGCCCCGACGACCATCATTTCAAATTGCGGGGCACAGTTCGAGTCGCAGCTCTGGCAAGGTCTCCTACAGTTCCTCGGTGACTTCTGTCATTGCACCACAGCCTACCACCCCCAATGAAATGGTATGGTGGAACACTTTCATCACCACCTGAAGGACTCCATCAAGGCTCAACCCCATCCTTACCCCTGGGTGGGTGTCCTCCCCCTGGTACTCCTCAGCATTTGTGCCACACACAAAGACGACCTCAACTGCAGCCTGGAATACCTCACCCTTGGAAACCTCGCCTTCCTGGAGATTTTTTGCTCACTCAAGATCCTGACCACATCACTCCTGCTGCCCGCTATGACCTACTTCAAACGTTATGATAATCAATAGCATCATTCAAAGTCACTTTCTCCTCGCCAATCATCTTGCTGCCTCAACAACATTCCCATGGCTATCCTTAGCACTGTACAAGTTCTTGTAAGGCATGACGCCCACCAGATCCCACTCCAATGTCCTTACACTGGCCCTTTCCCAGTTGTATTCCATTCAGCAAAGTTCCTGATGATCGACCGCTTTGGCAGACATAACACCGTCAGTACTGACCACCTTAAGCCAACCATCTTGCCAAATAAGATCCAAAGTGGACCCAGCATCACCTCTCGTCCTCATACATCATCCTCATTTCCACCACCAACATCACCTTCACCGCATCCACAAGACTTCGGGGTACCTTCTGAGCCAGTTGAGAGCCTGAGCACTGTTGAAGGCACCTGATATATACTGTACATTTATCTCAAGGAAGTATTGTATTATGTAACATTTAGTATCCTCGTATAAAACAACATTCAGTAGGTGAATAATCCTTTGCCAACGTTTCCCGTTTTCTTTGACTACAAGCGCGGTGGGTTTGAATGTTATGAAGCGTAATATGAATAAAAGAGCTATTAAGGATGACAATGATGTGCGCAGTACACTGTCAGTATCGTGTTTAGTTGGCAGATATAATTATTGCAATGGTTTTAATTTTTATCTATCTACTTGACAATTTATGATGTAATGGTTTTGGTATAATAAATGCAGGAATATAAAGTAGGTATTACAAAAATATTAATGCTAAGACAATTGGGTTGGGGTAAGTTGTTCCACACCTTCACACCAAGATATTTTATGGAGGTCTGGGACTGAGAGGAGAGCATGGAGGGTGGTCTTAGTAATTCTGGGTGTCTTAAGCTGTATCTCTGATTATTCTGGAACTAGAAATAATTGTATTGTCAATCAAGTGGTTGACTGACTTGTAAACAAATAGGGCAGAGCATAGTAGGTGTTAATATCCTCTAATTTTAATATTTTCAATTTAGCAAATTGTTCGTTAGTGTAATAATCAGGGGTTGTGTTTTTGAAGAGCCAGAGGTCCCCCCATAGTGTGTATCAATATATCAAGTGTTGGTAAACATGATCATAATACAGCTACTCCTCGACTTACGACTTACTTGACTTACGACCACGACATACTACCGCCCAATTCATACCAAAAAATTTCAAATTATGTATTTTCGAGTCCCGACGTTAGTGATTGCGCTGTGTACTGACAAAATTTTCGTTTGTATTTCCCTTTAAAATGGCTAGCAAGCTTAAAAGTGAGAGTTTTGTGGTGCTGAGAAGAAAAAGAGACACCCATATTAGATTGTCTATGTATTATCTTCGCATTTTCGACTTACGACCTGGATTTGGGTCCCTAACCCTGTCGTAAGTCGAGGAGTGGCTGTACTAGATTTCTTTCATTGCTACAAGAGTGAATGACTGATGAGTGTGATACAGGATACTGCACTGTGTATTGATTTACTATGAATGGCTTGTATGTGGTTTCTCATCAACAATAACCCCAAGGAATTTCGTATTTTTTTCACGGTTGAAGACTGTATTACCAAGGTACAGGGGGGTCCAAATCTGTGAAAGATTGTGTAGTGTTTTTTTCAAAGTTTAAGGTCTGTTTATTACGTATTACCTTGCTCCTAACTTAGTCAATTCACTGTTCATAGTTCTCATCAAGGAATGTAGATCTGAGTTGTTGGCATAGAGAATAATGTCGTCTGCAAATAAGTTGTATTTTATGAGTGTGCTGGAGTGGATTATATTGTTTATGTACAGTAAGACATACTGCCTCCTGTTAGACAGATATGAGGTAAACCAATTGTGGGATAAGCCCCTAACTCCGTAATATTCAAGCTTTGACAGGAGGATGGTATGGTCGACAATATCAAAGGCTTTAGAGAGGTCCAAGAATATTCCGACTGTGAACTGACTGTCATCAAAGGAGTTTAAGATGGCATTAGTAAAGGATAGCAGAGCACTCGCAGTTGACCTTCTAGCTCTAAATCCAAACTGAGAGTCTGTAAGGATGTTATAGTGGTGCGTGTGTCGCCGACCACCGGTCTATTAGCTGAAATGCAAAGTTAAATTGGCTATTCATTTCTGACAATTTTGCATTGTGTATCTGGAAAGAGGAAATAGAACTACAGTACAACAAAATAAACTATAAAAGGGGGGTTGCTCAGTAGGTCTTAAACTGCACTTTAACCACTCATTTGAAAGTACACCCATGTGCACTTAGATAAATTTAGTTTATAATTACGGTACTGTTAGTCTGTGCCAAAATGGGAGCAAATACCTTTATAACCCCTGCATTTCCTTCCATGTAACATTGTAGTAATCGATATTTTGCTTGAGCTGTGGCTTCGTGTTTGTATTATACATTTTCTACTGCAATTGTGACAAAATTTAAAGATAACCTTGAGTAAAAAAAAAGGGTCTCGGTAATTTAGTGATACATTCCGGGTCCTTTACATCCAGCCAACTTTAACTTTCATTTTCTTTGATAGTTGACGTTCTTATTTACCATTAATGGTTTTCCCTCGTGCAACGAGGATGGCCGGCCCTAGGGCCACCTATAGTTTCACCCTGCCAGGGGATTGAACCCGGGTCCGCTCGCTTGCGAGGCGAGCATGCTGACCATTACACCACAGGTATAGATTAGCTATGTAAGTTGAACAGAGCATCCATAACAATAAAGGAGTTTCAACTCCTTATGGCTAACCGGGTATGCGATTCCTTGGTTTCGTGTGTGTACCCGATGAATTAAAAATTAAAACGGAAAGTGTGTGACGTTATATTTCAACACCTTCCTCCACCATTCTTAATCACCAGAGAAAATGTCGACGTCGGAAACACATAGATACAATCCCAGCATGATGGAGGAGTAATAAAGACTCGGTTTTTTCACAATTACATATATTTACAACAATATACAAGGGAATGTGATCTGGCCAGCAGAGTTTGTTGTCATCACATTCCTGGATCACAGACAAACTCTAACACGTTATTAATAAGAGTTCTAGATAAAAACTAAAAATCATCATGTACTGTACTCAAATTCATATAATAAAAATATTTCTGGTTTTGCTAATAAAACGTAGGAATAGTTTAATTTCAAACAATACTGTACAAGATTTGTCTACTGTCTGATCTGTGGCCGACACGAACACGCAGTAAAATCTACAGAATAGATTAAAATTAAATAAGATGTTGAGTATGCAGTCTTAAGAATGGCACCGGCATATCAACGTCTGAGCCCAAATTCTTAGTGATTTGTAAGACGAGGGAAGGTAAAAAAAAAAGGTATGGCATAAAGGTCGCAGCTAACGAGCCGATCAGTGAAGGGGATAAAATGAATTATGCTGTCACTAGGGGAAAATTCAACATGTGAATATCTATATATCCATCTTTGTGTCGTCGCTTAATCCAGCCGGGTACCCTCTCGAAAAAAAAAAAGTGAAACGAGGTGGGTGGGGAGAGTCATCGTAAGAATCTTTGAGTGTTTATTTTGTGGTTAAGTAGGTTAGTTAAGTACATTGTCATGTCACCAGGACTCTTACCTCATCATCCAGCCAAAGGGATACAGAGCTATAAATATGTTACTTTGTAGCTTAAAAGCTGATTCATCAGCCATTGTGTCTTACATTTATTGAAATAATGAACAATGAAATTATAAATAGTATTAATAAATGATATGCTTAGTTAACCGAGCTCCTCCCCAGCAGCCACATGCAGTTAATTCAGTTCTTCATTGACGTTGAAATAACACTTTAAGACTGACCATCAATTCAACGTTGAAACAATTACCCGCCTGGCCGCCTTCAATACTCTCCAATTCTCACACTGTTTAGCGTTCCGGTAACTGTAACCCAAGATACAGTATAGCGTTTGTTTACAAGGATACAAAAATATTTACAGCTGTTACTAGGTTCTCATGGATATGTTGTCTAAACAACTATAACAGTAGTATTCTTTATTTCAGTTTATGTTTGTATTTACGGTCATGTATGGATATCATTCTACAATAAAGTTATTATCATTAACGTTATTCTAATAATTACAGGTACAGTCATTTACTTTTTACTTTTATCCTCTTCGCCACTGATCGGCTCGTTAGCCGCCCGGGCGATCGGTCACGTCTCTGTCACGCGCTGTTGTGAGGCTTTCTCGTCTTACGTAAATTGACACATACATATTATGACTTATGTCTGAACGAACCAGTTACAATGTATTTTACAAGAACAACAAAACAATTATGACCATTTTATTCATCGGGCACTTCAATAACAGCTAAACAAAAATAATGCTAAAACTACACAGCTACACTACACAACAAAAAATGTAATAACAACTATCCCCTGTATCAGATATTTCGTTTACAAACAATCGCTAATAAAATGAGATTCACAGGAACACACTGAATCAAGATTCTTTGAAGTTTGTTCGTTAATATTTTTACCCGCTAACAGATGTAATAATACACTACCACCCAAACATGGTGTACAGTTGGTATTGCATTGAAATTTTATCTTAAATGGATGCTTTCTCTCAACCCTATTTTACTGGGAAAAAAATTATTTACTATGGTTTGAGAATTCGAATTCAAAGTCTTAAATAGTACAGCAGAGGTTCGGAGGACAAGAGAAAATCATGACACTCGTGAAATCGGGGTTTCAATGGATGATTGTGAGTAAATGATTAGAGAGTTCGGGAGAACATTGCAGGTTTTCTGTCAGATAGTATGAACAAAACTGGCCATGAAATTTTATAAAATGAAGACACCTGGGTTCATAGACGTTTAGATCACAATGCTACGTTGTTTTAGCGCGATCATGAGAACAAGAAATTTAGAGTGATGTTCCACTGTTTATAATAAGTTATTTGAGCCAAGAAGGGCCAAGAAAGGTTCGAGTTAAATACTTTGGGTTCTGGATATGAATTGCGAGGTTCTGGTGAACCCTTTCACTATGTATTACTAAGAGAACCTTGACATTATAAGTTCCAGGGTTCAATCGGTGTTAAAATGTAAAACTGATATTAATAGAGACCTAAGGACTTGTATCCAAACTGAACTTTGACCTGGGGTGAATGATGGGATTAACAGGTGCATTTTGAGTGGATGACCTTTGACCTTAGAGGGTTCAGAGAATAAACATGTACAGTATAGAGTTAATTTATTTGATAGTTGAGGTGTTTTATAAGAAAACCTCTGTTCGTGGAGCCAGAATTGGTTTACAATATAAAACTTCATCCTTGGAGACTGAGAGAGGTTCGTTACTTGTGGAACCATCTACAGTATACGGGAAGCATTGAGCCGCAGTCTATTTGAGTTCCAAGGTCCTCTATACCCGGAGGTTCCAGGTTTCCACTCACAAAAAAATTAATTATGAAGGTTCCAAGGTTTCACATGTTAAGAAGGAAGTTGATAGGTTCCACTCACACACATACATAGACACACATACATATTCTACAGAGGTTTCAGGATTCCACAAACATTGAACCACTTTTTTAATATTTCAGGATTCCAGATGTAGAACCATAACATATAGGGGTTTAAGTATTCTGCTTATCCACGAAGATAGAGGCATCTCCCACTTACAGAACTGCTGTGTATGAAATTATCAAGGTTCTAGAGTCCTGGACGTATAAAATCACATTTTTATAAAGTTTCTAGACTCAGCGCAAGTTGCTTCGTATCCAGGGCATAAAGTGTGTGATTCTCGTGTAGACCCCAGGGTAGCCAGGCTCGGCACATCTGTTTCCAAAGGAGACGAGACCAATCTGTACCCAGCGGCCCTCTGTGTATAACTGAAGGGGCCCTCCACTGTCGCCCTGTGGGAAAACACCGTACATTAGCCAATCAGTTTTATGACAACCATGCTTTAGGTAATTAGATTTTTTTAGAACACCAGGCATTAATTAATTAGATTTAAGAATATTCAGTTTATGAACCTTTCTAACAGCCAGTTAGATACAAACAATATTCCTTGGATTCGTTCTACTATGTTTGCATTTTAACCATCCCTTAGTCAAGCACATCTATTGTTGTGTATATAAAAAAGACAAGGTTCCTTTTTCAATACCTTTCCTCTGTGGGCCAAGAGCAGGCAGAATTTGGTATGTGAAATGAAAACCCGGGTCCCCAAAATGTACAAAATCTGGGAGGATTGGCAATGACAGCGTGAAAACTTTTGGAGTTGACAGCCATGGTCGCCAACCCTCAGACACAGGGATGACTACCTAATTGATTGATTGAAGTTTATATTTGGTTAAGTTAACAGTGGGAAGCAGCACAATACCTGGCAGGCATCCCGGCCGCCCTCAACAAAGCCAGCACACAGGAAGATCTCAGTGATGGGTTGGAAGTAAGCGTCGTTACAGTCGCTGTTCTTCCAGACGGGTAGCTGAGCCTCCCTCAGTGACGAGCTCTCCTGCCCTCCTGTATCACACATGTGTCGCGAGTTAATAAAATGTAACTATCTGATCTCGTATATGACAGACAACTGTGTTAGAGTTAATATGCATGAGATATATACTTAAAACAACTCCTGAAAAAACAAGGGTACCTTATACAGTACTTGATCGAAAGTTGTGAAGAAGGAACATACCATAGAAGGTGGACCCCCAGCCTATTACAGAGGGGGTCTGGCCCACCATACTGTCGAGGGGTCGCCTGGAGAAGTTCTCAGAGGGCAGACACACAGGCAGGATGTACTCGGTGAAGTCCACAGGGCGGTCAAGACGGATCAGCGCCACGTCGTTGTAGAACCCGTGAGCCTTGAAGTCTGGATGAGGCTGGATTTCTGTCACTCTGTGAGATGAATGTTTATCACTATTGGGTACATTTTGGTGGATCTTTAGCTTGGCTCCGGGGTCAGTCCCTGGGCCGGGTGACAGTGTGGCAAAGTTTTTACATGTAGTTTCCGGTTTCCCTGTGTTATTCCTTGACACTGGGTCACGCACCTTGTTGACACCGGTGTGGTGTGGTTGCTGTGTTGGCAACAGCTTCTACACCTTAAAACAAAATCTCATCTATGTGACCTTAGTGTAGCCATCCTTAAAAACGAAAGTCAATCAATATTATAACCATATGTATGTATGTAGACATAGTTACATAGCTGTGTGCTTTTAAATACTGTATATATATATTTATTTATATATATATATATATATATATATATATATATATATATATATATATATATATATATATATATATATATATATATATGTGTGTGTGTGTGTGTGTGTGTGTGTGTGTGTGTGTGTGTGTGTGTGAACCCGTCATAATAAATCTTCATACAAAAGCTAAAATTGATCCCGTTAGTCAAGGGAAAGTTGCCGAGAGGAAACAAACTTTGACGGAAACAGACGTAGAGCATCACTGCCCCGTACGCTGAACTCGTGATCGCGAGGATAACACATAAAAAACAAGTTGTTGGGAACCTTTGTACATTTTACTGAAGACTTAAACTTAAGTGACATATAAGTATCACTCACCTATAAGTCTGAGGGTTGGAGATAAAGTCATCACTCTGGCTGAAGATGTTGTGGTCACCCAGACGCACACTGAACTGCTGAGGGTTGAATCTGAAAGAAAACGTTCAGTGGGTCACAGTGAGTCCAGTACCGTTGTGTATCTCAAGCAGGTTAAGAACTACAGTGTTCATATTTAAACATTTACTGTACAAACAAACTCCGGAGTTACTATGGCAGATTAAGATGATTTTTGCAGTACAATACAACGCTCTGAGTATGTGTAGCATCGCCATTAATTTCCCACTCGCTACGGTAATATACTGATTAATGATACAACAATCTTGCCCCTTGTACTCACGTCTTGCCCCTAGAGTCCTTAGTGCAATGGGCGGCCGTCAGGATGTACTGGCTGGACACGAGAGATCCGCCACACCAGAACTCGGTCTTCTTGGGCCCGTGGAGCCAGACGGACGCCATCCATGGCCACTGTCCGCGACGCGACTCCACCCCGCCCACCACACGGAAAGTCGGGATCTTGGGCACTCCACACTCTGTTGGGAAGATATAATGATGGACGTGTGTTGAGTGTTAACAAAAAGGCATAGGGTGTGGGAAGGTCATTAAGGAGAGAGTAGGTTGTGTGCAAGTGGTTTAAAAAGGTGATGGTGGCGGTACTGAGGTTCAGGAAACTCCACACTTTGTAAGGGAGACGCAATGTACGGCAGTTAGGTTCTCACCTCCTGTAAAATGAAACAGGGTGTGGAAGGGGATCTGACAGGAGGTCATTGTTGCCATCTGTATCTGTAGGAGAGATACGATGGTGGAAGGACACTATTGAGGGAATAATAGTGAGGCAGTGTGGTCAAGGGTAGAATAGAGAGCGGTGGACCTTTTAGGTACAGTATACTGTAGATACAAGGTGTGGGAGATGGGTTGAGACGAACAGGAAGACTTCTCTCCCTGTTTTATTGTTTTAAGACAAATTCACTTAAAAACCTTAATAATCACATGGATTTTTCTATCACCCATTTTTATATAAAGAAAAGTAAACCCCTTATGAATTTTATATACACAGGATGAAAGACTGTATACTTTTTCTGGTTGTTTGAGAAAACTTTAGCCATTTATATACGTCAATTTATGACACACTCAGTACATACGGAAGGAGTCAGTGGGGGGACGTTCTGTGAGGGGTTGTATTGGCCGTGGTCTGGGTGTGCTGCCACTCACCTGTAAACAGTTAAGACTCAATCACAAACATTGCCCAGGAACATCATTAGTACAAGTATAAGCTTAAGCTTAAAGTATGAACACGGTAATTCCTACCTGGTGATGGCGAACGTCGCATCTGCTAAGATAAGGAAAATGTTTTGTAACTGGCACAACTGAGGCTTATAATTATTTATATTAACCAGGCCAATTACAATATACAACATGTTGTTACGTCTGTAACGAAGTTCCTCGCTGGGATTTTAAATAATGAAATAGCCTTGTGATATATGAAGCATTTTTTTTACATGGAATCTTTTATAGCAACAAATGCTTCAAGTTTAGTTATATTGTAAGGGGGTAGATCTAACGATAATCTCAAATTTGGGTTGACAATACTTGACGTTATAATGTAGTACACAACTACGCTTCAACAATGAAAGTCTTGAAGCTCATAACAAGGTCAGTAATTACACTGGTGACAATCCACCAACAATTAAAACTAATGAGATAAAACTCTCGGTTGGCAACAATGACGAGGAACGGCAGACATGGCGGTGAAGTGTGGTGTGACAGTTGGAGGTATTGCTCCGTGTTATTCTTATTCTAAACATTCATGGCGGCTCTGGAAATGTTTTGTTATAATGTGTTCGATATGATCAGTGTACAGTGGTCACGTTGTCTCTAGTGGTCGCTTGGGATGCACCTGGTAAGTAGTATCATAGCATATTACCAAATTCAATCTAACGATTTAGCGTTGGAATGCGAGATCAATCCATTTTGTAGTGTTTGTTTACAATATGTTTTGTACATCATGTGTGCACCGATGCTAGCAATTTTATCCTGGAAGAGTTCCCTCTAACACGGGTGAACCAACGTAATTTATCAGACTTACTGATGAGACTCCAAGATCATTAAATAGGTTAGGAATGTTGGGTTTTGGTTTTATCTTTCATAAACGGTTTAATGTCGTAATCTGGTAGCCACTATGTTTTGAAATTAACAATGACCACACACTTAGGGCGAAAATCATTCTTCTGTAGACCGACGGATGGATACTATTGGACAGCGAAAAGTTTAGATACCAAGGAATATCTAATAAGCGAGCTCAACTGACACATTCTCAGTATTTTTATAAATGTCTCAAAATTTTACTACACCGCCACCTGTTACTGCATAGTAGAGAACGTATAGGGTAAACTAAAAAACAAATTCTCATAGAAAACGGGTTCAAAAGCACTCATAGAAAACGGTTACTTTTCACGATTAACTTTTTCCATAAATTATACATCTTCGAAAACCAAAAGAAAATATTGGTGACAAAAGAAAAAGAACTTCAGACAAATAGTGAACAGTTTTCGTGCCTGAGGACGAGAAATACAAGGTGTCATTAACTTATGGAATGGCTGTACTTACGGGTGGTGGGCGGCGGGTGGTGATTGCGAGAGGAGGGATGGGTGGTGGGGGGGCGGTAACTGGTCGGGATGGACGGTCAGGGGTGTTCACTGGTCTTGGTCGACCAGGATGGTCGTTTACACTGTTGACACTTCTGTAAGTTAATATTAGTAGCCGTGATAATTATAATACTAATAAAAGGGCAAAATGTAATTCATAAAAAAAGTCAACAAAATAATAGCTGTTGTCACTACTACTATTGATTACATTGATCATAGCAATAATTATAGTATATAATGGTCATTATGAGAACAATTAGAGTAGGACTGAGAACAAGTATAGACATGAATACAGTAATGGTGATCTAGAGTAAGAAAAACGAAGTTATAAGAAGGCTAACTCACTCTAGCCCGTCGGAGGGGCAGCAGACGCCCGGGACAAAGAGACTCTTGAAACAGACAGACTTGCGTAGGTTGGTGAGGTCGAGGATGAGGTCAGGACAGTCGCTGAGGTCCTTACAGTACCCTTGCTCCCCCGCAGGCGTTGTACAGCCCCTCACGTTGTCCGACTTCTGCGTCTCCGTCCCCGGCAGATCGATCACGATACGGCCGTCACCGAAGGAAACTGCAGGTATAGTTTGTCCCATGGATTTAGTGACGGACTTCGCTAGAGGAGCTACGGCCTTAGTCAGGTTACTACCCAGCAGGCGGGTTGAGAGTGAGTAGGCCGTGTTGTCCACTACTTTGCTTAGAGCTTCGCCTACCGTCCGTACTGCAGGTTGGTGGGACCGTAGTGGTGAATGGGAGTACTGGGAGTAGGCGTCCGGGGAGTAATAGTACTGGGAGGAAGGGTCCGGGGAGTGGTAGTAGTGGTCCGTGTACTGGGGGTCGTGGTTATAGTCACTGTACTGGGAGACTATATAGTCATGGTAATCTCGGTCGGTGGTAGGGTAAGTGTGAGAGTCTTGGGGTGAGTTGAAGCTGGTAATAGCACTAGCTAGTGTGTTAAGACTACTACTAATACCTCCCTGGATGTTGTGGGCGATATTCTTGACGCGGTTGTGTCGCTGCTCGCCCAGGACTTTGGATCCTAAACGGTCGATACCTTTGGCCGTGGATCTGGAGACAACCTGGGCGCCTCGTTGTATCCCGGCCTCCAAGACATCAATACCGTGGTTGATATAGGGCACTGCAGCGTTGCCCATCTCCACCAGGTGGTCTTCAATAGCCGGCACTATCTTGTTATTCACTACCTGGGCCGTTGCCTGTACGCTCTCCGCAGTTTTCAGAGCAACTCGGTTCCCAGCCTTCATGATGGCTTTACCAATGCTCGGGGCGACGTCTTCTGTGATGCGCTCGGCAGCGTAACGTACCCCAGGCACAACGTGGTGGTCTATTGTGGCACCCAAGGTGTAGAGCCCAGTGTTGAAGGACTGTCTCATGTGGTGTAGCATGCTACCGATGGCTGCTGTAATACCACCACACAACACACCTCAACACTACACTCCGTCACGGCCATGCTCAAGCTGTGTGTGTTTGTGTACAGTATATGTGCGTGGCTCACAATATTAAATTCTGGAATTTACCCCCATCAATCTTCACGTTATGTTTTTTCTTTAAATAGACTAATATGCAGCTAACATATTTTCACATTAAATGTTTATAAATGTGACTAACCAAGAGAAGCCCGATGAAGTAGTACTTAAGTACTTTTACTGCAGAAGTTTTTACTAATATATTTATATTGGCCAAGACGCTATGGAATGTGAGCCACTCACAACTGTCACTTTGGTCCTGTTTTATGACCTGTCCAATTCTGCAAGAGTTTATAAGATGCACAGTGATACTACCTCCTCTCATTACTATGATTGCAATAAAAGGAATATGAGAAGATCAAATACGCTTTTAAGATAAGTATTTTTGTATAATGGTAGCTGTTGAATGACAATTATTATCTTGCAAAACTGAATGAGGGCAAACTTATAAAAGGTCCCGGCGGCACATCTATACTTACAGCTTATACGTATATAAAAAATCCGTTCCTTATCAGTAAACTATATAACTACAGAGGTATTTTGATAATAGAATGGAACATAAAATATTTGCAAGAACTATAATTTAAACTCGCAAGAATTGATATTTTGTTGTACTGTTCTTGTGGTCAGGGAATAATTAAAACTGGGATGCAGATGACGCCAGGACCTCCAAAGCTACAGGCTACGGGTGAACTCGTCCCCTGCTGTCAGATACAAAGACGGCAGATCTCTACTGCCGAAAAGATGGCGTTTATTTGGCTGATTCACTAACAGTAAGAGAAGAGTCAGGCAAAACAAATGAAGCATACAATAAATTATAGTTGTTGGCTCACATGTCCTATGTTTTCACTGATTCGTCTCTGGTTACTAAATCAGTCAAACAAACGCCATTATACCGCCAGTAGAAACTGCTTCAGTATACTGTACATACGACGACAGGGTACTGGTTTAAGGTACAGGCGGCTGTTAAGTTAAAACGTTTACGTCTAGTGAAGTTACGTCATGATTTTTTTCACATTTTCTGTCTATAAGTTTAAATGCATTACTTATGAGATATGACACAGCCTTTATAGCATGGTAATTCATTAATAGCTCATAAATTTTATTTTTGAAAAGTGTGATGTAATTTATATAATTAGACTGGTATATACAGTTACTTTATCACCCGAATATAAGATAATTGACCTTGTTTTCATTTCATTAAATTTTTATTTGATATTTTATGCAAGAATATAGGTTGCAGAAAACAATGAATGGTTATCTTACCCGGCAGTCTAATTATTCATTAAATACAGTTAAAATAATTGACAGGAAGAAGTTTAACTGATATTAATAGAAAAATACAACATTAGAACTAAAATATTTCTCTTCGTAGTGTTATCATTACTGAGTTTTACATGAGTCATGACGTTACGTAACAACATGAACGTTTTATAGCCATAATATGTAGTGGATTGTGAGAGCAAAATATATACAAGATATTAATAAAGTATACACCTTGATAGCAGCAACACATGAAGGCTACATACAAACTATGGTATTATACTGAATATGTACAGATTATCGTCAAGATTCCTTAATGTTTGTTTACACAGTCCCACGAGGAAATTAGATAGGCCATCATTGTCTGCCTTGGCATTTTTCTGAAGACTTTTGGACGGTATTGTATAGTCACAACGGACGTGAAGAATACAGTTATGCAGAAAAAGAGTGAGAATATATGTTTTGGGTGAGTAACTTTCTCATGGGACTTAAACAAACACCCCTGGCTTTCAATGACTACTGTTATAAACTGATATATTATGTTAGGGTATTATATACAATCGGTTCTTGAATATCAGAGCTGATAAACATTGAATTATACTTGCCTTCTTACCGATAACCCCCATTCAGTGTTATTTACATCACAACCTATTTGAATATCATCTGTATTTGATGTATTTATAGTTAGTAGAAGCGCTAATACGCTGGCACCATGCGTCTAGGGTTTAGTAACGTGCTGGGCTGTCGTAGTTTTTATGTTGTCTCAGTAAAGTGTCGTGAAAAAAGTTCAAACTGTCGTAAAAATAGGTCAGAACTGTCAGAGGACAATACAATTGTTTCCATAAAAGATCCTGGACGTCAACAATCTTAACTGGCATTTTTTATTTAAGAAATGTTAATTGGACCTAATCAAATCTTATCTATTTCATCCGGAAAGGCCTCTTAGCATTTAGAAATGAACTCAGTGGGTCGTATTTTGATTTCATTATATCTACCTTAATGCTGCCCCATACATTAACTGATTCCAGGATATAGGTTGTCAAATACTCTACAATGAATAATCCTCGTATCTGAAGATGTAAGATTTCCCCCAACTAGTTGACGTAATCTTAAGCACAAAAATAACGTCCTAACATAGCATCCAAATTGCACACACACACACACACACACACACACACACACACACACACACACACACACACACACACACACACACACACACACACACAGACAGAATAGATGCTGATGGGAATTATGAATAAACCCCGTAATCTTTGTTTTGGTTGAATATCTTGTATAAATCATTTTAGCCTAACCTTACTGAATCTAACCTAACCTAACCTAATTGAACTTAATCAAATTTAACTCAATCTGCTTGAATTACATACCGCTCTTACCAGTTACCACTGAAATGACCAAAAAAAATATTTTTGTCAACGTCCAGAACTCCCTAGAATCATCGTATTTTTTTTCTTCCAAGATAAACAAATTGATCGTAAAACCTATAATAACAGTTGTGGGTCTTAGCGTCCACTGTTCATCCTGAAGGTTAAACTAACGTCGGTTGGATAGGCAGACGTGGCAAGGGGCCCTAACGACGTCACTGTGGGTCTAGATTCTCATAGCCTCGTACTGTACTATAAATATCTCTCGTAACTGAATATTTTAAGAATGTACTCTACACTCACTGGCTGACTTAAAGTGAAAATATAAACCGTGGATAATTTTTGGATGGATTCTCAAGGTTAATTTTTTGTCCTTTAATTGTTGTTAAATAAACTTGGCTAATTTGGATAATTTTAATGTTATTTGTGTCGTTTTAGTTGAAGTCAATTAGTTGGGTACTTTCTTTTATGTTCACTTAGGAGGAGTAATTATCGTATGAACTTTATTTTTAAGAATCTAGATCCTGGCCATTTTTATATGCACGTCCGACAGTTTTGAAATATCATTTGTATAAGTCTCTGTATAGCATTATCATACACAAATTAATTCACATAGTTCAGTCGGGTAAATAATCTTTAAATTTAAATCTTCTGTAAAGGACACAACATAATGATTAAGGTTTACATTACTTAACAAAATATTATGACAAAAATCATCGCGGAAACAGCTACAGAACCCAGATTTATGATGAAAAATGGTGTCTTTTTTGTTGAATTTCAATTGAAGATTTTTGTATATTCCAGAGGATCTCATTTTCAAAGCATTATTATTACTTTATGAATCATTTATTAATAAAGTTGTTATTTTCCTAATATTTCAGGCTTCTATGACTGTATGTTTTGTAGTCAAGGTGAAAATTATGTTTTTGAGGTATACTTGAGTTTATAACATTGATAACTCTTGTTGATTTTTGAGGGATCTGTTCTGTGGTAAAATAAAAAAGAGATAAACATTGCACACACACACACACTACCGGACTGGTCAATCTGGGAGAAAATAGGAAGAAAAGCGAAAGTGTTGATAAATTACACCCAGTTACGACACGTGGGAAATGTGGCCGATGGGACTTCCTGTCATTGTTTATGGTGGAATGAGGGGCTAATCTCTCTCTCTCTCTCTCTCTCTCTCTCTCTCTCTCTCTCTCTCTCTCTCTTAGTGAATATTGTTTCTTAAGACTGTATTCATTCTCCCGTGTAGTGATAAAACTGTCAACTCCTTATATAAAGAGCGCCAGTAGTAAACGCGTGACAGCATCCACACTGACACCATTCATAGTAACTTGACATAATGACCTTCCCTTTCATTGTATCAGCATTACACAAGGCCATGAACGATAATGGGATACAACCAGGAAATTATAATTTCATATTTGCTGGGTGAAGGCTATGAAATACTCGTATGCTAGATATTAGACCAAATTTTATGTGAACGAAGTCATTCATATTTTTGTTTTCCTGAATTTTTTTTTTATATAATTACGTTTTCCCAGGGGCAACAAAGTGAAATATGTGGTGCAGGGCAATTTCAGAAAAAAATATAGTTATCATCCACCAAAGAGTAGGTAGTGTACCGGAATTTTCATCCAAATTACCTACCGGGTATAACCAAATGAGTGACTCCCTGTGGTTTAATAGTAAATCTCTGACAGTGGGACAACCGAGGCATTAATGCTTTAGGACTGCTTATATAGTTAGTTGGGAAGAGAAATGCCCTGATACCTCACCTTAGAGTCTCTTTGATGATACTTTTGTGAGAGAGAAACTGATCGCAGTGTCGAGTGAATGACGCGTGACTCCCACTATAACAGTCACTCAATGAATTCTCTTAAACTTTCGCATATTATAATTTCCACCCAAGGTAAGATTAAGAATATATGTAACCTAATTAATTGATGATACAAAGTTAGGTTGTCAAAAGGTTCGTATAATTTTAAATTTGTTCTTAACCAGGGCTTTGAGAACGTACGGGTATATCTATCAAGCGCACTGGAATCGTAAAACAAAGTGGAATCTACACACACACACACACACACACACTAGTACTCACATAACTGTCGTTTTCCTCTGGCAGGGTCTGGGTCAGCCTCTGCCACCGCTTCAGGTTGTGGCGCTGCTTCAGGACTAGCCTTCACGCCCACACACGCCCACACCACCACGCCCATCAACACCCACGACCACCGCATCGTCTAGAAGAAAGCAGGATGTGAGGTGAGTTTCTCCCTGGCTATGTAGAGGGGAGAATCCGGCATAGTTGTTTACATTATACACTGTTTACGTTGTGCTTTGTTTACATTATGCTGTTTACATTATTCTGTTTACATTATGCTGTTTACATTATTTTGTTTACATTATGCTGTTTACATTATTTTGTTTACATTATGCTGTTTACATTATTTTGTTTACATTATGCTGTTTACATTATTCTGTTTACATTATGCTGTTTACATTATTCTGTTTACATTATGCTGTTTACATTATTTTGTTTACATTATGCTGTTTACATTATTTTGTTTACATTATGCTGTTTACATTATTTTGTTTACATTATGCTGTTTACATTATTCTGTTTACATTATGCTGTTTACATTATTCTGTTTACATTATGCTGTTTACATTATTTTGTTTACATTATGCTCTGTTTACATTATTCTGTTTACATTATGCCCTGTTTATGTTACCTTATTGTCTTATTTTAGTCTAGCTGTCTATCTTTCGCAAAAAAAATCACATTTCTGTCTGTCTGTCAGTCTTGTACTGTATATTTATTTCAACACATCTATCTATCTACCCTAAGGTATTCATGGCACTAAGCATCTGTATGTAATGCTTTATATATCAGCTTATGTCTACATTAATATTTTATATCTTCGTATAACGGCATATGTATGTATTGTACTAACATGTATTTATATGTATCGGTATATGCATGCATTATACTGTGTATTTTTATGTATACCAATGTAAGTATATACTGTATATGTATTAATGTTTGTGAGTATATCCGTTGGTCTAATATGCTTGCACTTATCGGTATATCCCAAGTCATGTTTTGGGTGATTTTATATTTGGCTATCAAAATTTAACCTCATATATATATAAAGACATGACGATATATAAGGGGATATATTAATGGTATGAATCCCTATTATTCACATTGGTTGTATGTAGATAATGGTTATACTGTATATGGTTAGGTTAGGTTGCTGCTCCCACTCTACACGTAGCGGTGAGAGTATAGTGGTGAATAATATAAGGCCTTTCACTTTTGTCTTGGATTGATGACATATACAGGACCAAACTCTCTCCCTTTCTCTGTCTGTCGTGTCTAATATAAACCGTCTTGCCAGGAGTATCGTCTGCCATTACAGCGTATGTACTTGATTCAATTTATTGATCGTTACCAGCGTTTATTGGTCAGCTTTCACCTTCTAATAAATGTTATATAATTGCGTAGATGATGATTTGTGACGATAACTGGGGGTAAATTGTCAGTTAGGGATGGAACCGCCCATAAAGAAGTGTCGAGTCATAATCTATAGGAAAGTTACCAGATGGCACTAGGCTCTTCACAGCTCTTCTCTCTGAAATTCATAATCTTCAAACTTTTTTTTCTTCCAAGTGTTCGTGACGTCAAACTTTTTTTTTCTTCCAAGTGTTCGTGACGTCAAACTTTTTTTTTCTTCCAAGTGTTCGTGACTTCAAACTTTTTTTTCTTCCAAGTGTTCGTGACGTCAAACTTTTTTTCCCTCTTATTGTTCGTGACGTCGAACTTTTTTCCCCACTAACTGTTCGTGACGTCATTCTCAGTATATTATATCATCTGTACCCAACCCAACCCAACCCAAGCCAAGCTGTATAATTTTTGCGTCATGATGAGGAAGTGACGAGAGATAGTATGAGAAGTTACCTCTATTATATGGTAAAAGTGTGTGAGTCTTTTTTTTAATGTACCTTTGTGGTTTATGACAGAATGGTGATCGATTTTTTGGGGGGTGGTGACGTCGTTTTTATTATTTATGATGCATGACGTATTAGTGTTGAAGATGAGGTGGTAGTGGTGAGGTTTTCTGTGCATCATTGTGACAGATTCGTGACAGTAAGAGGAGTGGAATGACACAGGGAATAATGGATCAATACTTATAAAATGCTGTGGTAGGTAATGGTCTGGCACACAGTTGATTATTACCACAGAGCCGGATGTCTTACCCTGTGTACATTACCACAGAGCCGGATGTCTTACCCTGTGTACATTACCACAGAGCCGGATGTCTTACCCTGTGTACATTACCACAGAGCCGGATGTCTTACCCTGTGTACATTACCACAGAGCCGGATATGTCTTACCCTGTGTACATTACCACAGAGCCGGATGTCTTACCCTGTGTACATTACCACAGAGCCGGATGTCTTACCCTGTGTACATTACCACAGAGCCGGATGTCTTACCCTGTGTACATTACCACAGAGCCGGATATGTCTTACCCTGTGTACTAAATGAATATCTATGACAGCAAACCCCAGCCAATCAGAGGTAACAACCTGACCTATATAGTCACACTGACCTTTACTGCAGGTGTGTTTTGTGACCAAAATTGATATTGTGCGTTAAGGTCGTTTATTTTGTACACTGGCTATGGCGAACCCGACTCTATGTGATAATATAGTGTATAGTGAGGCCCTCACCCGGGTCTACAGCTAAAGAGAGTGTCATTATGGTTATTGTCGTTGATTTTATTATTAAGCCGTGTAGGAAGGATTTGACCTCAATTTAGATAACACAGTAATATTATATGATAAGAGTATGGTAGAAGAAGTAGTCATTGTTGCTAACTTGTTATACGAAGGGCCACGGCGTCATCTCTACCTCACTGAACGAGACAATACGAACCACAAATGAATCGTTTAGATGGGGTAAACAACTTCGAAGTTTCGGAGAGGTTTATGAAACAGGAGTGAATCGTCCTGACAGTGTTGACCAGTGGACGAGAGAGGATAGACCAGCGATTTTCAACCAATGTGCCGCGGCACATTAGTGTGCCGCGAAGCATTCGTAGGTGTGCCGCGGGAGTTTAAATAGCATTTGGATAGCATTTAAAAAAAATGCATTAGGATACGTTTTCAATGATGCAATAAATAAACAATTGTGTTGTTCATTAAAAGCCTAAATGGCAGTTTTAAATTATCTCCTTAATTCCGTAGTGTAGATCCGCCTTAAATACTGATGGTGTGCCTCGACCATTTTAGTGCCTGGCTCACTGTGCCGTGAGATGAAAAAGGTTGAAAATCACTGGGATAGACCGTCGTTGGGCTGCTCTCCATGTGGACTTTCATGTAAGTTTTGTGTGTAATGTGGTGTTCTGGGCCATGTTAATTTGTTAAGGTCAGGGTTAGATATTAGTGGAGGAAAGTGTAGGGAGGTACAGCCCTAGCCACCGTGCTTGGCGACCTGATAGTGTAAAGAAGTGTGGGTATTGCTGCAGTTTTACTCCCTATTGGGTTAGAGCAATTTTGGGTTCACCAGAAGTTGTTATTTGTCAATTCCAACAACACTCTAATACCACTTCCGTCGCAAATGGGTAATAACCAAGATGGTAAATTCATAAAGGAAATTCATGCAAATCTGCAGTCACCCCGTGTTGTCTGTTGGGTTATAACAGACTCGCTCGGGCTGTACGTACTGTACTCTAACGTCCCCCAAAAAAAAATACACCATGATGCTTCAACAGAGTTACTTTCATTGGTACCAAATGTCAAATAAGTACTTTCTGTTTAACTTGGCTGGGTTTCTTTGGTTGGTTAGGTCAGATTCTATGCAGTGGGGGGTTAATTAAAAAAAGAGTCTTCCGACGGAAATGAAGATCAAATTCGGATGAATCACACCAAATACCATGGGAAAAACCTAGATATATGGTCAAAAACCAATTGGTAGAGAAACTGCAATTTTACCGAACTGTGTTGATGTTGGGTGTTAAAAGGATGTATAGATAATGACAGTACAGTATATGCAGTGTATTATGAGGCATATGATGATCAATTGGGGATGAGGAGATAATTATATGTTTTTTGTTTGTAAGTAAACATATTGTCAGTACTTTATACCCGTCGTGTTACAGTAGAAGGATTTGGGAAATGAGTTGTTCCTGCTCCTGCCCGTTATCCGTTGCCTGACGAGGGAATACTAGTGGTGGTTGGTGTAGTAATTGTGATAGTGGTGGTAAGGTAGTAGTAGTGATGGCGGTAGTAGCAGTGGTGGCGGTAATCGTGGTACTAGTTGTAGTGGTAATAGCAGTCGCGATAGTGGTAGTAGTAGTACTGGTGAAAAAAGTAGAAGAACTAGTACATACCTAGAGACAGTACCACAGCGAGTAAGTCCCACGTTCCACAGAGGGAAAGTAAGTGTCCACGTTCGTAATTAAATCACTATCCAGGAAGGGAAAGTACCCACCTGGCAAGTAATTAACACGGCAATAACAGGTGTGTGGTAGATACGTGTCGCAGGTATGGACACTTTTCCCACCCCGGTCAGTAGTTAGTGAGGCAAGGTGATGAAATTATGGGTATTTGATGGTAATTCATGTTCATACGGCGAGATATACTCCTCTCTAACCCTGTATTGTAAGTTAAATTTAAGTTATTGTTTTGGTCATCTTAACAAGTAACCATTTTTCATTTTGCTCTTGCCTGGGGGGGGCGGGGGGGAGGCAGGTGGTACACGAGGCTCTGTTATCTAATGTTATCTAATGTTATCTTGACTTAAACGTAGGATATGTAACTACACTGGTTAGAAAATAATAGACAGATTGATAAAGGTGACATATTAGTTGAAGGCGACATTATTAACGAGCTGAATCTTATATTTTACCTTTAGTGGCCATTACAAAAATAATTGATTACAGTTGATTACAGTATATGTCTTGGTACGTGATTTGGTACAGTACAATATCATAAGACATTACGTTACATGGATGGTATCTCTTTGGGCAGGGTTGTGAGGAGGAAGTGGAAGTGCGAGGTGTAAGGAAAGTATAAGTACCTGCCACTCACCCTCGCCCGTTGACCTCTGGGAAATCTGGCTCCATCTCTCACGCCTGCAAGTCATCATGACTCGGCACATTCACTTACCTGTTAAGTCTGTTTATGTAAGATTGTGCCGTTGTGGATATATAGTGATCAACTCTGTGTGTTA